CGGGAACGTCTGAGAGATTTATGGTGAAAAAACATATGTCCTGATTGCAGGTTGTTGGCATGAAGATGCTATAAGCTGGCTAACTAGAAGCATTAATTTCTATGTGATTGGTCAGATTTACTTTCTGTGTTTGGTCATAAACTGATAGTGGAGGCAAAAATTAGGAAAGTTGGCAGTTATTGACCAAATGCTGGCATATTTGAGTGTTGCAAAGGTCATGATGGAAGCTGTTTAGTCTATAAGGGCACTAAGAGGTAGAGGGTGTCTTAGCAGTTTGGCTGCTATAACAAAATACCATAGACTGGGTAAAGAACATATGTTTCTATCTCACAGCTCTGTAGGCTGGGAAGTACAAGATCAATGTGCCAGCAGATTCCACATCTGGGGAGCGCCTGTTCCTTGGTTCATAGAAAACCAATCTCTGACTGTGTCCTCACATGGCAAACATGCCAAGGGAGTTCTCTAAGGTCCCTTTCATAAGGGGACTAATGTCATTCATGAGAGCTCCACCCCATGACTCCTGAAGGCCCCACCTACTAACAGCATCACATTGGGGGTCAGGATCCCAACATATGAATTTTGGGGAAACATAAACATTCAGTCAATAACATAAGGCAACAGAGAAATAGTGCCTGTGCATTTGTGGGACATTGACCTTCATGTCCAAAAAGCCTTCCTTGATGTTAATTGAGCACTTGACTCTCAAGGCATGGTATAAAAATAGACTGTCAGGAAGAATTTCACAGGTTCTACCAAAGAGTCCCATGATACATGACTCTGAACTATGTATGCTACAATATAGCATTTGATGTTGCATTTTCTTTATGTATCAAGTAATTATTTACACTTAGATATATATACACAGTCTGAAAGGGTATTTGCCAAAATGTTACCTTAAATCAGTGATGTTGTATGTTTTCTCATTTTATTATTTATGATGTGAATGTGCTGAAATATTTTAATAAATATCACATATCACTAAAAATTTTGTTATGAAACATTTTATATATTCACAATAGTTGAAAGAAATATTTTAAGACCATATATACACCAACCACCTAGACAGCAAAATTAACATCTCCTCATCTGGGCTTTATCACATGTGGCAGTCACTCCACCCCTGTCTCCCTCAGTCAAACACAATTTTCTTTTTTTTTTTTTTGCATTTCAAAGTAAGTTGTAGACATCAATGCAGTTCACCCTGGATACTGTGGCATGCAGATTATAACACAGTGAAATCAGTAAGTGCCAATGTTGCAAGAAAGGGGATGAATTCAAGTTCACCCAGGTTTACTTCAGATCCTAGAGCAGGAAATAAGGAAAGCATACAAGGAGAAATGAAATGAGGACTCTGATATAGTCTCCTCCTGGGGGAAGAGTGCCATCATGAAGGTGGAGTCACTGCCCAAGAGATATTGGAGAGAGATAGCAGAGTGTAGAATCATGCCCTGAAAGTCAGGGCTGCATGCTGTAGGGTCTGGGGAACCCAGAATATGTTGTAGCAGGTGCTGAGCCCCTGGCCCACGTGGAAGACGCAAGCCAAGTGGGTGGTGTGGATGCTGCAGTGAGGTGGAATGAGAAGAGAAAATGAGAGCCTGGGCTCCAACCAAGGAATTAGCAGAGCTACACTTCTTACTCTCAATGAGTCAGGGAACATAGAGAAAGCTCCAGGTCTCTCCACCCATGCAGTGAGGCAGCAGAGGTGGGAGAGTCAGGCTGGAGAAACTCAGGAAGAAGCAGGGGCCCCAGCCTGATTGTGCATGTGTTCCTGATCTGATTCCTCCAATTATCCAGATGTGAAAGAGCCACGGACAAGATTACCTTGTTGGCAACGAGCTGAGCAGGGCTGACATTCACCTGGTGGAACTACTCTACTACGTGGAAGAGCTTGACTCCAGCCTTATCTCCAGCTTCCCTCTGCTGAAGGTGACCCATTTCGCAGCCCAGAGAGGCAGCCCTACATCTCCCATCTTGGGATCTCATATCTGGGCCCTGGGACTGGCCACATTCTGACCCAGCCTTGTCCAGGCCTTCAGTGCCCTCACGTCTCCAAAGTGAGCTTCCAGGCCCTGATTCCTCACAATCAGGGAAAGATTCTTGTTATGTCTTGTTCCTCACAAGCAGGGAAAGATTCTTATTATGTTCATGAAATGTGTGGTGCATGCTACCCCATGAAGAGCATTTGCCTTTTATCATGGAAATGACCCAGGGCCCAGCATCTCTCCCCATCCCTCTATTTCAGTGTGGTTTCTGTTCCTGAGTTCTCTGTGATGTCCTTTATCCCACATGTCCCCTTGTCTTCCCGCACCAAGTGTGTCTGAGCAGGGCCCTTTCCATCTGGTTTCCTCCCTGGGCTCTGCCTCCTGCTTTCTGACATTGTGTTCCTCTGTGCACAGCTCTCCAGCACTCTGTCCCACACACTGTATCTCTCACTGAGAAAAGGTGGTCCCACGGTTTGTCTTTAATATTTTCTATAACATTTTCCTTTCCAACTCATTTCCCCATATTTTTACTTCTGCTTAGAGACTGATCTGTGTTGATATCTCACAGACACATTGATTTTTCTTGTCTTATACAAGAGTCACTAATCTATAGGATTAATATGTAAGAAGAAACATGGGGATGACTGAGTGGATTAAAATGTGACTGAACGACATCTTTGGGGAAAATACAAGTGAGCTCTTGTATTTTCTTTTTCCTTTTATCTTTATTTCTCACTCAATGTCTGTTTCTGCCTCCATGCTGGTGCTGATGGTGCAGACTTGCTTGGCCTTTGTGTAGAAGGGTCTCAGATTCCCTGGGCGGTATAAATGGTGGTGGCAGGCCTTGGCTTCACTCTGAGGCTGTGCTTTGTGAATTACAGGCCTGAAAACAAGAATCAGCAACTTGCCCACAGTGAAGAAGTTTCTACAGCCTGGCAACCCAAGGAAGCCTCCCATGGATGTGATAACTTTAGAAGAAGCCAGGAAGACTTTAAGGTTTTAATAAAGCACCCATGGAGGCCAAGAACATGCAAGACCCATATTCTAAAGTTTTGCAGCAATAAAGTACTTTACCTAAGTATCGATTGTTCCTGTTGTAAAGCTAATGAACTCTTTCCAATCACATGCTAATTAAATAATAAATCTCCTATTTGTTGATTTGGTTAAAATTAATTTCTTTTCATTAGGATCTGATATGAATTCAGATTTCCAGTCTCCTCCTAACCTACCACTTTCATGAAATTAAAAGTTCAGTAAAAAAAATACTGTAGATTACATGGTTTGTTTACTTTTCCAAGAATTGTCCTGTAACATTTCTCATACAATCTATTAAAATGTCAATGTAGAAATGCGCTCCTGACATTTTCAGGTATGCACAGGAGAAGAGTTACCATACTGGGTAATGGCATAAAGACATTTTCTTCTTTTCCTGCAGTCATTTTATTTCTGATAAAAGTGTTCTTCCCTAACCATTTGCAAAATAACCATTCTTTCTGCTGCGGATTCCTCAGTTTTCTAGAAAGTGAGGAAATATTGAAGAGCAAACAGACCCACCCTCTTCTCTCAGGCCACCCTGTTGTCCCTTACAGGCGGGTGCTCCTGGCTCATCCTCACTCTGCTCCTTAAGGCTCTGTGGGGCCCCAGTCGTGAGCCTTCCCTCAGTTCCCTCAGTGCTACTCAGGCCAGGGCTGCCAAGACACAGATGGTATATGTGAATTACATACAAATAACTATATGCAAAATCATTTTTCCCTGGTGTGTCATTGTGCCAGAGTGCCTGGATTAGGAGTGCTTTCCAGGAATCTTTCCCTGCATCTTCTAGCTTCTGGGGGCTCTTGGCCTTTCTGGACTTTCATGGATAGTGGCCACATCGCTCTAATTTCTGCCTCTGTCTTCCTGCACCTCACCCTCGCCATGTTGTGTCTTCTCTTCACTCTGCTGTGAGGATAATTGTCATTGGATTCAGGGCCTATCCAGATATACCAAGATGATCTCATCTCAAATTCTTTTACTTCATTACATCGGCAAAGAGCCTTTTTCCAAACAAGATCACATTCACAGGGTCTAGGGATTTCTGTATGGACCTATCTTTCTTGGGGGCCAACATAACCACCTAGATGGGACAGATGAAGAAAGATTATTTGCAATTGATGAATCCAGGTGATGGATACTTTCAGATTTGTTATATTACGGGCAATTTGAGTGACGCAAAGAGGAAAGCACATGCAAACAAGGTTCCTGGATTTGGCAGACAAAATACAGGACACCCACCTAAATGTGAATTTCAGATAAACAATAAAGAATATTTCAGTATAATCATGTTTCATGCCATGTTTGAAAATAGCTATAACTAAAAAATTATTAATTGTTTGCCTGAAATTCACGTTGACATGGATGTTCTATGCTTTATTTGGCAACTCGGTAAGAAAAGAGTGCCATCAGCTTGCCCTCCACAGACATCCCCCGCAGCTATGCTCACAATAGAGATTTTTCAGTTGCCCTAGTCCTTGCATCCAACTCATGAAAAAAAGCATCTTTAAAAAGCCAATTTCTGCTGACTTGTAGAGAGAGCAAAATCCAGGTGATATGTATTATTTGAACTTTAATTGCCAACCTTGAAAAGGAACATGTTTAACCAGTTTCTTCTGATAAGCAGATCACTTACTCATGTCTTAGAATCCAGTAGGTGGTCCCTTGGCCATGAAATGTGTGGGAGTGGCTTCTCCCTAACTTCACCCTTCTCCCTTCAGTGGGAGGGAACTATTGAAAGGAACAATGAGCTTATAAATACATTAGGACCCGGAACTCAGTTGTCGAGCCACGACAGTGACAGCGTTTGACAAAGTAAGTACTGATCTTATAAATCTCTCTACATTGCCTCACACTCTCCTCTCTAGCCTCCTAGAAAAACATGCTAGTATGTGTCCTTAGCACAAGAAAAAGTCTGTTTTTACTCATATTGTGCCATCTTTGTGTGTTTGGGTGACAGTTCAATAATTGTTTATTTCTTTTCTGTTGGATACCTCTTTAGAGAAACGTAAAAATGAAGAATTTAGAAAACCAGGGCCTCACCGTTTAATGGTATGGGAAACAATGACATGAGGAGAAGAAAAGAAATGATAGTAATTTAAACAATCTGAGAATAATCAGGGCTGGAAGAAGTGGCAAAGTATGCAAAAATTTCTTTCTCTATGTAAGTAATCAACACACGATTGTAAATTGTGACACTGTAATACTATATTGGCTGTGAAAATTTAAAACTAAGGTTTATTATAATTGGAGTAAATTAGTTTGAATGTCAGGGGAACTAGATTCTAGTTGAGGCTTTGCCACTAATTAGCTCCACCATGAGTCATATTCTGTCCCTGGAGTTCTACCAACTCATGGCCAATCTAGAGGATAGTTAAGAAAGAGGCTCTGACTGTTGCTGCCCTTTGAACGGTGTAATTCTTTGTATGGAGATCTGACCTGCCCACTCTAGGATGTTTCTAGGCATCCCTGCCCTCTCCCTATCTGATTTGTAGCCCCCTCTCCCCCCCGTAGATGTGACAACCCAAAATATCTCTAGACCTTGCTCAGTGTCCTCTGGAGCAGAGGAGCCAAATCCCCCTGGTTGAGAACCATGGGACTACATGACCTCATGGGGCTAAGCAAGGTTGTGTTACTGATGCGCCCCACTGCCTGGATGTTCACTGAAAACTTCCCGATAATCCAGGTGGACTGATTAGTGAATATCATTAATCTCTGTACAGGAGCTAGAAAGGAAAGAGAGAGAGAAACAGAGCCATCATATGACAGATTTGATATAAGTCTGGATTCATATAAAAATGTAATCCTATTAGAGTTCTATGGCCAAAATATAGAGATATAGAGAGATGGATACAAGATAGATAATAGATGATGAAGAGACAGACAGATTACAGATAGATAGACGCACGGAACAATAGATAGATAAAATAATACATACATGGATGGGTAGACAGTTAGGGATTATAAATAGATACATATACATAGATTGCTGATAGGTAAAATAATTGATGGATAGATAGATCAAAGAAAAAGGATCCATGGGCTACTCAATGTGTCCAGGGACTCACCCATCTTCTAAGCATTGGGACAAGAGCAAACACCAATTGCTGAGTTCCTACTATGAATTTTTTGTACATTATCTCATTTAACTTTCTCAACAACCCTCAAAAGTAGAAATAACTACCTCTATTCTAAGAATTAAAGAGATTAAACAACCTACAGCTTTTATGAACCTCATAATGGGAGGAGTCGTGATTTATCTCATTCTCCCTTCTCTCTGATAAGAAACAGTGTCATTGGGACCAACTCAGAGATGTAACTCTTTTAATTAACTCCTGGAATTATGAGAGCTTATATTCCATTAAAACAAGCCCATATTTAATTGCTGTAAATACAATTACACTAGTCTTCAACTCACTCTGGATTTTAGGTTGTCAAAGTAGAGAAAGGCACACTTTTATTAATTTTTTCTTCCAAGCAAGCCCCTGAAAAGTTGCTCACAGGAGGAACTCAGGGATTAGATGTTCCCATCTCACCCTCTCCTTCCAACATTTAGTTGGCTAATATACGCTGAATAGGAAAATATAAAACAACATCTCAGAGAGGAGCTGAGAGCCAGGTTACGGGGTGGAGTGGAAAAGCTCTGGACCTGCAATCAGAAGTTCAGGCTGACCCAGCACTCACCAAGTGTGCAGCATGGGACAGGTGCTTTAGCTCTCTGAGACTCAGTGTGCCCATCTTTAATTCAGATAATAGGAGCCATTTCCCAGGGTTGTTGCAGAAGGTAGACACACTCCCTAGATACTGACCGTGAATGAGCAGCATGTGTGTGTGACCCATGGCAAATCCTTGAGCTCTCTGGTTCTCATTTTCTGTTGACCCATCAAAGCTCAACGGTAACCTTTGTCCCAGTCTTAACCTGACCCTTGGAAACCCCATATTGAGAAGGTGAAATGTTAGTTATCAGCAGGAGAATTGTGATAAAATATTATGTAAGATAAAAATTTATTTCATGTTGAAACATGATCCTCAATCAATGGCTAAGGGAGCTTAGTGTGGGGATTAGAGTTACAACACTGTGAACTAATCCATAACAATTAAACAACTACACCCCACACTTTCGTGTGAATTTCACTCTCCCATTCTTTCTGCTGAATAATGCTATTTCCATTTCCCAAGTTAGGAAAGTACAATGTCAAAATATCTAGGTACAAAACAGGTGAGTTGATTCAGTATGATTTCAAAGAATTATTTACTTTTCAAAGGCTAAACTATTGACTCCCACTTTTTAAAATGTAGACATTTAAAAGATTTTGATTTCTATTTATGCATCCAACTAACATATGAAAAAAAGCTCATGATCACTGGTCATTAGAGAAATACAAATCAAAATCACAATGAGATACCATCTTATGCTAGTCAGAATGGCGATCCTTAAAAAGTCAGGAAACAACAGATGCTGGAGAGGATGTGGAGAAATAGGAATGCTTTTACACTGTTGGTAGGAGCGTGAAATTAGTTCAACCATCCTGTGCGGTAAGATACGTGTGGTGCTTCCTCAAGGATCTACACCACCGAAATCACCAATTTGCACCCAGCAATCCCAGTACTGGGTATATACCTGCAAAGCATTATTACCAATCCATTCTACTATACCACGCACTCCACGCACACTTATCGCTTCCTCTGCGCGCACTGCGCTTTTCACATCAGCAAAGCAACTTGGACAACTAAATCAATCAGTCGATAGAACTGGGAATAACACGAAAATGTGGCCACATACTACACCCTCAAGCGAATACCTCATGCCAGCCATAAAAACGAAGGATGACGTTTCATATCCTTTCGCAGGAGACATGGATGATGTTGGACACCATCAATTCTCAGTAAACTAACACAAGAACAAAAACAATACACCTGCACTGGCTCCCCCCTGCATCAAGCGTGCGCGGTAGTTGAACAAGAGACCACCACATGCGCGGGACGGCGGAACATCACACAAACCAGCAATGAACCTCATAGTGCCGCGTGGCGCGGAGCTTATGCGGCGCGGGGGATACACTTTACAGGAACAACCACCCTACAATGCTGAGATCTCGACTGTTCCATAGGTCACTCGCAACCATCATGCTGCACCTCCTACCATACCTGTACAACCCTGCATATCTGACCCATAGCGTACCTCGGGCCGCCCCCCACCACGCGCGAACTTTAACAGTTAATACAAAGCATCAGATTTCGATGCTCTAATTTAGCATATACAACTTGTTTAGACAGTAGCATTGGTTGAGGGCAGGTGACAGTGGCTCACGCCTGTAAGTGTCCAGGCATTTGGAAGGTTTGAGGCAAGCCGGATTCATCTGAAGGTCGGCGCGCGCAGCGCGCGCATCGAGACCAGCCTGGGCCCAACATCGCTAACACCTAGTCCTCTAACTAACCAACTGCACCAAAATAAGCCTGGGTGTCGGGGCATGCTGCCTGCGGCTATCAAGCGATACTTGGGACGCGCCTGACGCCCGCGAGAATCACTTAGAACTGGGGAGGCCTGAGTTTGCATGAGCTGAGACTCACGTCATTGCGCACCTCCCAGCCTGGGAAAACACACCCCAGTGCACACCTCCGTCTCAAAAATAACAACAAAAAAAAAAGAAAAAGAAAAGAAAGAAAGAAATACATTAGTTGTTAAAGGCAAGTATATTTTTCTCCTAAACTCAACAACCACAAAACATTGCAAGAAGAATCTTAATGTTTAATATCAGAGCTAGGGGTTTGGAGAGAAAATGCAACTGTTCCTAAGTCCTGGCACTGGAACTCCTGCTTTCAATGAGTCCTGTGTCTTTCCACTCACATTCATGATACAATTAGTTGCATCTGTCCCTGCAGCCACTGGTTTTCATTCTCTGATACTCTGCTGTGTTCCACCTCCCAAACAGCCTGGGATAGAGCAAGGGCTATCAAACTTCACTGATGAGCCCACTCAATTTATCTCTAACCATTTACAATGACCAAGTCAGCGTGCACACATGCAAACATCCATACACACAACATACAGATAACTGAAACTAACAACTCATGAAACATTACTTACCCTTCCACATGTCAGACTCACTGATATTTTCTATTCTTTTCTATTTTATTTTAAAAAGTAGTGGGATTTCACAATCTACTGAAAGATTACCATGCATATTTGAGAAACACTAACATAGAAAATAAGACTCAGTGCTTGGTTTTTAATAGCAGTGAGTCTGAATCCCAGATTCACCACTTAATCTGGGCAAGTTACTTTTAAAACCTCAGTATCCTTAACTGTAAAATGAGAATAGCTACAGCATTCACCTTAGGTGATTTTTGTAGGATAAAATGAAGAGAAGTTTAGAAGAATGACCAGTGAGTGACTGACATTGAATAAATGCTAGCTCCTTCCATATCTTGCAAAGTTAATGCAGCAGCATCTCTTTTGCCAGATTATAAAACAAAATGCTCCCCCACAGAGTTAGAATATAGAATGCCAAAAGAAGCAAGGGATTAGCATTCTCTGTCTGTTGAAATAATTTGGATATTCTAGCTATAGTTAAGTCTGAAGCCTAATTTCTGGTTTTGATCAAATGCAGTCTCACAGCCAAAGAGCTGAAGAGTGACTTAGCTCCCTGCTGGTCCTCCCTGTCAGTGACATCCTCTGGGTTCACAACCAGTTCATGGGTTCCCAGGGCATTCACCCAGCTGGCTTCCAGGCATGCCTTCATTTTAGTCCTTGGTGTAGATATTCATGTCCATCACCAACTGGAGTGTGACTGTGAACACTGCATTTCTCTGATGTTCCATTTCATTAACTAAAAAATGGAGATAACAACCATTTCATGGTATTATAAGGAGGGTTAAAGATATAAAATATTAAAAGGGACTAGCATTGAGGAAGGATCATTAGGAAGTTTTCAATAAATACTAGTTCTTGAATTCTTCCTCTTCCCATTAACTCCTATACATGTATTATTACCACATACTCTCACCTCTTAGGCTGCCAAGAACAGTCACAGTTAGCCAATGAAGACGTGAGACTGGTTTGCTAGAATCTGAGGGTGGTCACTGCTGGGTAACAATTTGGGCCAAGAAAACACTCCAGGAACTCCTCCAACCCAGTCTTGAAGAAGGCAGCTTGTTCTTTAGCATTGTTGGTGGTTCTCAACCACACATCCTAAAGTACATTTTGATTCTATGGCTTCAATTATTCATTCATTCATTCAGGCTTAGAGAAACCTCCAGAAGACTGCTATCATGGCAGAGAAACCCAAGCTCCACTACCTCAATGCACGGGGCAGAATGGAGCCCATCCGGTGGCTCCTGGCTGCAGCTGGAGTAGAGGTAGGTTCTGAGTTACATCATCTCAAGTTGGATTTAAAATTGCGTTATCACATGCTTTTCCCACAGAAACTATGCAATGATTACTTACTGAAGCATTGTGCCTTAAATAAAAATGGACTGTAATTAAGAAAAAGATGAACAGATTTGACCTAACAATTGTTAAAATTTCTTCTCATCTAAGAGCATACATATTAAAATATAATTAAGAAACTAATCACAAAGTGTAGAACTTAAGTGGATTAGAATTTAAACAAAGTGTAAAAAATAATTTATGGCATTCATACAACAATTAGAAACATGAATATTGACTATTTGATGACATGAAAGAATTATTGTTAATATTTAATGTGTGATAATGTACTATGGCTGCCTTTATAATAGTTTATGTGTTTTAGGAAAACACATTGAAGTATTTAAGGATTAATCATATGGATCTGGGATTTCCTTGGAATTATTACAAGAGGAGAAGTAGGTGGGCATAAATAAATATATTTATGGTAAATAAATAAATATATTTATGCCCACCTATATATAATATCACATTGGTTTTGGTTGATAATTATTTATTCTAGGTGAGAAGTATAAGCAGAATTATTACGCTTTTCTGTTTATTTTTATTCTTGTTCATAATTTCCACAATAAAACAATAAAAATACATAATATTAAAAGAAGGTTGTAGTCAGAGGTAAAATGCAAAATGTAAACTACAAATGAGAGGCGGAAGGAAGTGGATTGTAACAAATTACCTATTAAAGATTGACTACATTCACAGCAATTATTTGGTTGAGCACTTATTAATTCCAGGTTCCATACTAGGTCATGGAGATAGACAGTGAAGAAGACAGACACAGTCCCTGCCCTGGGGCGGCCTACATGTCTATGAGGATGCAGACAAGTAAACACGTGGTTAAAATGAGGGGTGGAGGCTTCTAGAACACCCAAGCATTCCCCAGTGTTACCAGGTCATCCTCCTGGATGTTTGAGCAGGAAACGCTGGGAGGTGTCTATGGGACTCCACTAAGCGCTGCCCTCTAGATGTGTCACTGAGAAAAACACTTCCCAGTCCAGACCAGAGTCCCTCAGTAACTGCCTGAGGGTTTTCCTCGGGGGTAAGTCATGGACAAACTCAGGAGATCTTGTCCCTCAGGTGGCAGCTGAAAAGGAGGGTTTCAGGTGAGGTGGCGTCTTGTGAAGGGAACTTCTAGGGCGCCCCTTCAGCCTCACAGCGCCGTGTGGACCTGAACCTCGGGACGGCACTTTCTCCATTGCTTCACGAAGGCTTGGGACTTAAGCCTCACCCTTTCTCAATCCTATGAAGAAATAATCACACAAGAAATCCAAACACTATCATTCCAGGTTGTTTCCTTTGTACAAATGAACACCCTGTTTCACTGTCACCCAGACGTCAGCTCTGCAGCTCAGGGATGTGGTCAGAGCCTGGGCAGGAAGAGTTCAGCAGGAGGGAGGGAGGGAGGGGCAAGGCTGAGAGGAACCCAGGCTCCCTGGTCTTCATCCCGCCTGAATGCAGACCTTGCTCAGGCTTCTGGAGTCTCAGGGCCCTAGGGCTGATGATCATAACCCAGTCCTCAACCTCACAAGCACATCCCACTTGCCAACCCCACCGCACCTCGGCCACCCTCCTGCCTGAACCACCCACCATTCCTTAGGTTTGTCCTGAACTGGACGCTTTGTTAATTGTTGGCACGCACCTCCATGACCTCTAGATTCTGGTCCTGTGTGATCATAGATCCACAACAAACTCTGTTCCATGGAGCAAGCTAGAAACCCCCAAATTCCTGACATTTCACCATAAAGAACTCCCTAAAGTATAATTAGCCACTGCAAACGTCACTACTGTTTATTACTTGATGTATGTGGGTCAGGCCCTGTATCTTGCATTTTGAAAACATTACAAAATTCCATTTAAGAAAATATTGCAGATGAAGAATGTAAGGCTTGAAGATTTTAAGTAATAATTCCTAGATCACACAGTTATTTTGAGGCAGAGTCAAGATTGGAACCAGATCATAACAACATTGAAGTCCAAAAAACCATGAGAACTTTTGCTTAGACTTTTGGTTTGACATATTCTGCCTACTTAAGTCAACTGCATCATCATGTAATAACTGAATTTCATATCTGTATTAAATACCTGCATCCACCCATAGCTTCTGGTCAGATTGAGACAGTCTTGTTGCTGGCTGCCATTTCCACCAAAGTGACTTGTCCAGGACAAAGTGGAATTTACTCCCAGGTTTAAGTTACTGGATGTAGATAAAGAACTAAGTATAGTTTCAAAATTCTAAAGATAACTTATATTTAATGAGCAGCTACTATACACCTGCTACTTTTCTAAGTGCTTTGTGTGACCTTACAATTTAATCTTGGTATCATCCTATACCATAGGTACCGTAAGTATACCCATTTCATAGATTAGCATACTCAGACACAGATTTGGTACATGTCCAAAGTCAAGAAGCCAGTACATGAAAATGGTGATATTGAACCCACAAAACCACATCAGAAACCAGAGGCTTTCATTAAAAATAATGTTAGTGTGGTACTCTAATTCCTTTATTAAATTGATAATTTTACCCTATTGGGTTCCATGTACTTCAGAAGAGAAAGTTAGAATTACAAGTGTTAAAGCTGCGCAACAGCGGCGACCTATTTCACCCTTAGCAGGGTTCCCAAGAAGTGGGGCGATATAAATTACAGCAGAGGCTCCTTGGTGGCAGAATATTTGATGGCCATTAGCCCACGGTATACCCCATACTGGGGACAAACAAGGCTGTGGTCTAATCTCACCTGGAGACATAGGCTTTCCTAAGATATGACAACACCATAACTAGAAGAACAGCTCAGTGCCTTTTCTCCAGTGACGTCCCCTCTCAAAACATGACCTAATCATACACATTCATGAGATCAGGGTGGAGGTGAAGTGAACTAGAAGATTGGGCAGCTACGTGCTGTGACTCATGCACTTTTCTCAATGAATTAGGTCTAAATTTCCAAATGACCATGACCAGACCCCTCTGTGTGTCCTGCCAAACTCAGAAGTCTTATATTCTCCAAATCATGCACCAGATGGGGCCATCAAGGTCACAAGTCTATAATAGAATGAACTAACAAGAATCCATTTACTGTTCCTGCTTCCAGTTTGAAGAGAAATTTCTAGAATCTGCAGAAGATTTGGACAAGTTAAGAAATGGTAAGATCAATCTCTAAGTGCCTCTGATGAGTGTATCTAGTAGGAAGTACAGAGGGTGGCTTGAGAAGCCGGGAATGCCTATGTGTGTAGGCGGTGGTATTTGGACATGGTGCAGAGAGAGAAAGTGGTTAAAATGGAAAGGATATGGCCCCCTGAACAGGTCTGGCAACTCTCTCCAGGCTGAAAGGACCAGACCTCTCAGACTATTTGTTAGAGGAATGCTCTCCCACCCCCAGAGAAAGTCCTTTCTTTGTTTTCATGCTTGGGACACCGTGAATGAGCTGTGGTCATCAGTAGAGGATCCCATACAGCCCGCCCCATCCAAGCACATGCAAGAACACGTGCTAGTCGAAAGGAGGAGAAATCGATGTGGCCATGGCCTTGAGGTTTTTCTTTCATGGGGCGGGGTGTGACAAAGTAACACTGCAGCACTATTGCAGGCTTTGAAGAGCAGAGAAAGGGACCCTTACATAAAAACCTCTCAGAACCTGCCTTAAATGTTACAAACACCATGAAACTTACCCTGCGAACTTCCCGTTTTAAATGGCATCTTGTTGCCAGTCCTATTGTAACTTGTCCCAACCTCTTCCTAAAATATCCATGAAGATAAATCAACACAAAAAATACAAGAGTCTCACTATGTATCTGGAGGGGAAATAAAAACAAAAATGAAATAACAAGATTAAAAAGTAAAAGGAAGCTTCTTAAGAAAAAGAAGAACCACAGAAAGCTTTTAAAAAATGTTGTTTGGGCCTGGTGTGGTGGCTCAGGCCTGTAATCCCGGCTCTTTGGGAGGCTGAGGCGCGCGGATCATTTGAGGTCAGGAGTTCGAGAACTGTTTGGCCAACATGATGAGACCCCATCTCTACTAAAAATACAAAAATTAGCCAGGTACGTTGGTGCATGCCTGTAATCCCGACTACTCAGGAGGCTGAGATAGGAGAATTGCTTGAACCCAGGAGGAGGAGGTTACAGTGAGCTGAGATCGTCCCACTGCACTCCAGCCTGGGTGACAGAGTAAGACTCTGTCTCAAAAAACAAAACAAGGAAAAAAGTTGTTTCAGATGAAATCTTACCAGGCAATAATTTCTTTTTCCTTTCACAAATTTAGCCATTTCCAAAACCATTTTTTTCATCCTGAAAGGGTGGGTTTCATAGACATTTCATGCTCCTTTTTTCCCCTTCTTTCTAAAGATGGGAGTTTGCTGTTCCAGCAAGTACCAATGGTTGAGATTGATGGGATGAAGCTGGTGCAGACCAGAGCCATTCTCAACTACATTGCCAGCAAATACAACCTCTACGGGAAAGACATAAAGGAGAGAGCCCTGTACGGTATATTTTCTGTTCTTTCCTCCACAGAGAACACAGAGTGATTTAGGTCCTTCCTTGAGTGGGTGGGACCGTGGCAGGGCATCGAGACCAGCAGCAGGCTGGGCCTTGGGCGTACATACTGAGGTCCAGTATTGCAGAGTCCCATGGAGATGAGGGAACAGTGGACATGGGGAGGGTTCAGGTGAGGGTGATTCTAGAAGAGGATGCTGTCCATGGATCCAGCACCCTGACAAAGGTTTCCAAACACTCATAAACCCTATGAACTGAGGAGGATAGGGAATCGTGATTCAGGTACTCAGAGCTTCAGAGGCTAGACTCTAGTCAATAGTGTAGGGCAAGGCATAGAATGTTTGAGAGTCTGTAGATGAAGGACTAGGGAGGGAAAGCTGCAAATAAGCTGAATCTCAGATCCTAGTAATTCCAAGAATGATGACCAGGAGCCTAAATTACCAACCAATTACATGGACTGGAATACTTGAGCAGGGCTAATAGAGGCTAGCGCCCAGGATGCTGGGGTTACCTTGACACATGGATAGAAGGCTGAAACAGCCAGATTGATTCAATACCAGCAAAGCCCTGGGGTCTACTCTCTGTTTTGAGGAGACCACATGATTCCAAATAAATCCTGAATGGAACTGTTGGCAGCTTCTCAAAAACTTTAGCATAGTATTACCAATGACCCAGCAGTTGCTCTAGTAGGTACATCCCCAAACAATCAAAAATACATCCACACTACATCTCTTACATAAATGAACAATGCAAATAACAATGCTCATAGTATTCAAAAAGTGGAAACAACCCAAATATCCATCAATCAATAAATGGAGGAGAAAAATGTGCCTTAGCCATGCCATGGAACAATGTTTGGTCATGAAAAGTAATGAAGTACTGATGCAAGCTACAAGATGGTTAAACCATAAAGACATGTTACATAAAAGAAATGAGATACAGAAGGCCACGCATTATAGGATTCTTTTTGTATGAAATGTCCAGATATTCAAATCCATAGAGGTAGAAAGTAGATTAGTGGTTGCCTGGAGCTCAAGAAGTGGGGCTTGAGGAGAAATGAATACTACTAATTGTACAGATGTCCTTATCAGGATGATAAGAATAATTCTGGAATTAGACTGTGATGATTTTTACAGAATTCTGTGAATGCACCAAAAACCACTCAGTAGTATAATTTAACAGATTGCAATTATAGTACGTGCACATACATCAATAAAGCTCTTATTTTAAAAAGTATTGTGAAACTCCAGTTTGACACAAAAGAAGAAAAGTTTGCACTGGTTGTAACTGAATAGAGAATTTCACCAGGGAAGGGGATTCTTAGGTGGGGTCTCCAGAAAGTCACACATGACTAGAGTTGGGCAACAGTACGTGGAGAGGGCTGTGGAAACATGTTTCATGGGTGTAATTGGAAGAACTGATAATCTGGGGCATAGGAGCCCTGGGAGCTGTAAAATGATGAGAGAGGACAAGAAATAGGCTGAGAAGGTTGTGCCAGGGACTCTCTTAGGATTACTTAGGGGGCAGGTCTTTGGCCATTTGACTCACACTAAGTTCATGCACAGAACAAACCACAATGGAGATGATAAATCTTGGCACAGCACCAGTGGGTACTGGCAGTGATTCCACGGATTTCTTTCATGACTGTGACCACCGATGCTCTTTTTCCTGTATTAGGTCATGTGTGTAACAAAATTTAGAGATCTATCTACCTTGATGGGTTGTTTTAAGACACAAATGTTAATATACCTGAAAAATCAGAGCATAATTACTAGACTATAAAAGGCACGCACTCACTGGAGGTGAATTACTTTGCCACCATCCGACCCTCTATTCTCTTAGGTTTTTATAAACCTATAAAATCTAAGGCAAAAGGCATTTGACCGTTTGCTTGTCTTTCAGGATTGATATGTATACAGAAGGTATAGTAGATTTGACTGAAATGGTCTCTCTTCTGATCACATGTCAACCTGAGGAAAGAGATGCCAAGACTGCCTTGGTCAAAGAGAAAATTCAAAACCGCTATTTCCCTGCCTTTGAAAAAGTAAGTGAAACTGTTCAGTGTTTTGGGGAACTGAGTTTAGAGGCCAGTAGAAAAATAGTGGCTAGGCATTCCTGGGGCACTGACCTTCACTTTCAGTGAGACTTCCTGAACACCAATGCAGCGCTCTGGCTCTCTAGGCATTTTATGAAAGTAGGCTTGGAGAAGCAATTGTATCACTTACACCCAAGCTATAATTTTCCAGTAAAATGTTAATTTACGGACCCCAACATTAAATTATCTGTTCAACAAAATTTCGTGTTCATAAGTAGAACATGGGCTGTGGAAGGCTCTTGACCACACTAGAGGTTGCTGTTGAGTCTATGGAACCCCATGGACTTTGATTGAAGACGAACATGATGAAAATGATCCATCAGAACACATTCTGGTACCATGTGCAGGAAGACAGGAGACCAATTGCCCAACCAGAGAATACTGTATTATTTCAGAGATGAGTATTTTTAAAAAGAAGAGTGATTGTGTGATGCAGAGGAAGATTTTGCAAAATGCATTTTATAGTAAGTTGTAGACATCAGTGCAGTTCACCTGTAAACGCTTCAGCTTGCAGATTATAACATAGTGCCAGTCAGGAGTGAGAGTCAATGCTGTAAGAAAGATGATGAATTCAGGTTCACCCAGGTTTACTACAGATCCCAGGGAGACAGAGCAGGGAATGAGGAGAGCAGACAAGGAGAAATGAGGACTCTGAAATAGCCTCCTTCTAGGGGAAGAGTGTTGTCATGAAGGTGGAGTCGCTGTCCAAGGGAGATTGGAGAGGGAGGGAGCAGAACGTAGAGCCACGTCCTGAATGTGAGGGCTCCACACTGTAGGGCCTAGGGCAGACATAACACGTGGCGGTGGGTGCTATGCCCCTGGCCTATGTGGAAGAAGCAAGCTGGGTGGGTGGTGTAGATGCCACAGTGATGTGGATGAGAAGAGAAAATGGGAGCCGGAGCTCCAACTGAGGAGTGAGTAGAGTCACACTTCTTACTCTCTCATTCATTCAGATAATGTGGAGAAAGCTCTGGATTTCTGCACCCATGCAGTAAGGCAACAGAGGTGGGGAAAGTCAGGGTGAAGAGGCTCTGAAAGAAGCAGGGGTCCCAGCCTGGGTGGGCATGTGTTCCTGATCTGATTCCCCCAATTCTCCAGGTCTTAAAGAGCCATGGACAAGACTACCTTGTTGGTAACAAGCTGAGCCGGGCTGATATTCACCTGGTGGAACTTCTCTACTACGTGGAAGAGCTTGACTCCAGCCTTATCTCCAGCTTCCCTCTGCTGAAGGTGACCCATTTCGCAGCCCAGAGAGGCAGCCCCACATCTCCCATCTTGGGATCTTGTATCTGGGTCCTGGGACTGACCATGTTTTGACGCCAGCCTTCTCCAGGCCTTCAGTGCCCCAGGGTCTCCAAAATCAGCTTCCAGGCTCCAATGTTGAGGAATGAAAACACTTTTGTTATGGAAAGGAAATTTGTGGTGCATGCTACCCTGCAAAGAGTATTTTGCCTTTTATCATGTGAAGGACCCAGGGCCCAGCATCCTCCCCATCCCTCTATTTCAATGTGGTTTCTGTTTCTGAATTCTCTGTGACATCCTTTATCCCATATGTGCCCTTGTCTTCCCGCATTAAGTCAGTCCGAGCAGGACCCTTTCCATCTGGTTTTCTCCCTGGGCTCCAGCTCCTGCTGTCAGACATTGTGTTCCTCTCTGCACAGCTCTCCAGCACTCTGCCCCCCACACTGTATCGCTCACTGAGAAAAGGTGGTCCCATGGTTTGTCTTTAATATTTTCTATAACATTTTCCTTTCCAATTCATTTCCCCGTATTTTTACTTCTGCTTAGAGACTGATCTGTGTTGATATCCCACAGGCACATTATTTTTTCTTGTCTTATACAAGAGTCACTAATCTATAGGATTAATATGTAAGGAGAAAGGGATGACTGAGCTGCTTAAAATCTGAACGATATCTTTGGGGAAAATAAAGTGAGCTACATGTCCTTCCTCTTATCTTCATTTCTCACTGGGTGTCTGTTTCTGCCTCCATGCTGGTGCTGATGGAGGGGACTCGCTTGGTGTTTGGCAGGAGGGGTCAGATTCCCTGGGTGGTATTAATGGTGGTGGCAGGCCTTGGCTTCACTCTGAGGCTGTGCTTTGTGAATTACAGGCCCTGAAAACCAGAATCAGCAACCTGCCCACGGTGAAGAAGTTTCTGCAGCCTGGCAGCCCCAGGAAGCCTCCCATGGATGTGAAAAGTTTAGAAGAAGTAAGGAAGATTTTCAGGTTGTAATAAAGCAGCCATGGAGGCCAAGGACATGCAAGACCAATATTCCAAAGTTTGCAACAATGAAGTGCTTTACCTATGTGTGGACTGTGCCTCTTGTAAAGCTAATAAACTCTTTCCAATTACATGCTAATTAAATAATAAATAACTCTTATTTGTCGACTTAGTTAAAATTGATTTGTTTTCATTAGGATCTGATGTGAATTCAGATTTCCAATCTCCTCCTAACCTACCACTTCCTTGGAATTAAAAATTTGATAAGAAGAAGAAACTATAGATTATGTGGTTTGTTTGACCTTTCCAAGAATTGTCTTATAACATTTGTCATACCATCTATTAAAATGTCAATGTAGAAATGCGCTCCTGACATTTTCAGGTACGCACAGGAGAAGAGTTACCATTCTGGGTAATGGCATAAAGACATTTTCTTCTTTTCCTGGACAGTCATTTTATTTCTGATAAAAGTGTTCTTTCTGATGCATTTGCAAAACAATGATTCTGTCTACTGTGGATTCCTCAGTTTTCTAGGAGATGAGGAAATACTGAAGAGCCAACAGAACCACCTTCTGCTCTCAGGCCACCCTATTGTCCCTTACAGACATGTGCTCCTGGCTCTTCCTCACTCTGCTCCTTAAGGCTCTATGGGGACCCAGGCATAAGCCTTCTCTTAGTTCCCTCAGTGCCACTCAGGCCTGGGCTGCCAAGATACAGATGGTATATGTGAATTACATACAAATTACAATATGCAAAATTATTTTTCCCTGGTGTGTCATTGTACCAGAATGCTTAGATTAGGAGTGCTTTCTAGCTCTGCCCACATACTGGGCTTATAATGTGAATCTCTCTCAGGACACCTGGGCTTCTGCAATTTGAGCTCTCCTCCTGTTAGAGTGAGCTTCCCCACAGCTGGCAGACGTGGTTGAGGGAGCAGACAGACACACAGGCTTCCTACCTGCAGCTTCACTTTGCTCTAGTCTCTTCTCCATTTACAACCAGAGTAGTTGTTCTAAAATGCAAATAGGAAAATAAAATCACAGAATTCTTCAGTGAGTCCTGACTGCATATAGAATGCATCCTCACACCCGTCCTCACTCCTTGATCTCCAGCCCAATCAACCCTCTGGGCATGGTGGGGCCTCTTGGCTTCCTGCCTGGGTGCATCTGCTAGCCCTGCCTGGCAAGCTTCTTCCCAGTGGACACACTTAACACTACCTCATTGCTTCCCAGGAGTGCTGGGC